TTATTTTATTTTTCTTCTTTTATATCCTTTCTTTTTTTCTTTTATTTCTTTTTTTGAATGGACCTTGAGTCTGCTAAAAAAAGGATGATGATGACTTATTACATTCATGAAAATGCAAATTACTTTATAACTTTTTTTGTAATGCATTTTCTGTATTTTTTTGTTATTGTTGTGTCTCTCACTGTTCACATAAACCTACCACAGAAATTGTAGACTGATCATTTCTTTGTTAGTGGGCAAACTTACAAAATCAGCTGGGGTTCAAATAATTTTTTTCCCTGACTGTATGTGTGAATGCCCCGTAATAAGTGTAGCAAAAGGAAAGTTGGAAAATGAACTTTAAAGTGGGCTTGCAGCCAAATGGTGTGACTTGTGTGCATCTATGATACAGGGACAGATCTAATAAATTTTGGACAAGGTGGACAGGCTGGAGCACTTACTCGAGGAGAGGTAGCACATTTAAAATACATGTAAAAGGTCAACTAAGGCCCCAGTTCTATGAAATAATAAGCCATACATTATTAAGAATTGCGTATATTGTGACACACACAGTATTTATTTTAGCTACCTTTGGTTGTGCTGCTTACTTACTCTTGGCCAGGTCAGGTCCGCTCGACACGGCCTGCCTCTCTTCCTCCTTTCTCTCTCTTGACCTGCGGGATCAGCACCTCAGCTGTGTTGCATTCGGTAATGAGTGACTTCGTTTGTCGGTGTGCACAGCTGAGGTGCATTCCTGTGATTTCCTGCTCCTTTATTTAAACCTCTGGCAGACGCTCCGTCTTCGCTGGAGCATTACCTGTAGACATACCTGCATTCATGGTCTGTGTCCGACATCGTTCTGATTTCCACGCTGACAGTTCCTGTACTGTGGTTTTCTTTTGTACGTTGTAACTGAATTCAACGCTGACAGTTCCTGTGCTGTTAATTTCTTTTTTTTCGTTTGCTACTCTGCTTCCCTGACGGCGTTTGCTAATCCTCCTGGTTGTTCTGTTTCCTCACCTGTCCATCCTAGTCCTCTAACTCTCCTGGTTCCTGCCGTTGTTCTGTCTACTCATCTGCTCGTCCTGGTCTCCTCAATCGTCTCTGCCCTACCCTGGTTCAGTATTGTATGTCTCCATTGACTCTGTTACTTTGTGTTGCCACCATTAAACCACCTTCTAGCACTTGTGTCTGCACTCTTGAGTCCTACCTCAGTTCTCCCTCACCCTCCTGGTGAGGGGTACTAAACCATAACAAGGGGCATTGCTGCTGCACAGTGGTTCCCCTCCTACTGAGGCGAATCATGCCAAGTACTCCACAAAAACACAGTCTAAGAAATGACTGCTGCATGCATAATATCAAATGCATGACATAAAATAAAACTAATTTGACCAGTATCAATTATAAAATACCAGAAAAGTAAAATATTAGTTTTATTTAAGGCAACAATTTATCATTGTTTTTCTTTTTTTTTATTCATTAATACTGACAAGCATTATATTTTGATTCTACAGGGATGGCCACTCAGATTCTGGGGCCCTTTGCTCTGCCCATGATATTTATTTAGCCCTTCGTGGCCTTTAGTAAGCCCTCACATTTATCATTCTTTCTGAGTAAACTCATGATGTCAGCGTCATTACAAATGCCTGTGGTAGGTTTTCGTGGCCAAGCAATCATATTATGAGGGTCAGACTATTATGGTGTAATGGCATTATGGGGAAACTGAGTTGCTTTTGGCAGAGGTTTGCACTCTGCTGTCTAGTCTGTAATGCAATCATTGTATATCATTCATTATAGCCACACACAAAGCAACAAAGCAATGTTAAAGGTGCAATAGAACTGTGATATGAATGTATCTGTCGTCAACATCTGGGGGGATGCAGGGAGAACATTTCATGATGCTTATGCTTCCTCCCATACTCTTAACAACATTATCAATATGCTGAGAGAAGCTGGGGGTGTTTAGTACCCATTCAAGCTGTGCACACAAAGATGGAAGCCCTATGCAGGCAGGACACAGTCTCTTATACTTTCAATTCTGACCTCCTGGTGGGGGCAGCATTGTTTTTTTTTGTTTGTTTTTTTTTTGTTTTTGTTTTTGAAGTGAAATCCTGCAAAAGTACAGGTTTAAACTTTAACTTTCATATGGACCAAATACAGAAAGACAATTAGCTAAAAATAGCCCATACAATCTATTCTGATAGAATTCAGTGCAGCTCAGTCCTCAGTATCTGTTTATTTTCAGTAGACTGAACAAATTGGAAACATTTCAACACGTGAGGAGGTGCCCACACTGTTTTCTGATTCAGACACCTCTTACTATTGGCTTTCACAGACGTCATTGTGTGTAGGCGATGTCAAGTGAGACAAAGTGTATGTGTGCTGATTGTGTAAATGCCTCTTCAGCAACTCCTCTATTGACAAGTTTATTGACATACTATTGGCATACAAGTATGGCGTGTTCTGTGAGGCTGATGGTTATCATGTTACACAGTTTCTCTCTACTGTATCACAGATTACATAAGATTAATGGTTAAACCACAAGGATCTGGCCAATAAATGGTGCTATAGAATGTTTTCTTCTAACTGATCCACATTTATTTATAATACTGTCTAATGTGTCAGGTACAGGCCACAACAAATTTTAAATTTATGATCAAATATGGACATAACATCAGTCAGGTTTGAGAAAATAATAACCCAACAGGTATTGTGTGAAATGAAATAACACTATTTAATCAGACCTAAATAATCTTAATCTATGTATTGTTTGATTTTTTTCTAGTATTAGCCCAACATGGCACACTATTATCTGTATATTTTAACACTAGCTGTGCAATCACTCAAACAAATTCTTTTACCTCAACAAAATATTTTAAAATCACTTCCGTTCTGAGACCAGTAAAATTTCTCCTGCAAAGAAGAACATTTCATGCTACAATCTCAGTATGACAGATTAAAAAAACAAATCAATGATTCTGATAATGATGGGATCTTTATGATGGTGTCTGTGATTTTTCCTAGTGTGTGCCTTTACTTGGCTGTAGGGTTGTTGATCTGGGCCATGAAGAGGATGCTCCCAGAATGATCATTGAGGATAGCCTTGAAGGGTCTGTTGAGTGAGATTACCAATGGCGGATTTAAGGCCATCATCTGGACGCCCGTCACAGCTGTTGCCTCTGTTCCCATCTCTGTCACACTCCGCGCAGCCTTGTGGGACACCTGTGGAGGCAAATGAACAGATAGCCAGTGTCGGTTTGAAACAGCATAGGTTAGGAAAGCTATAGGAGCTAAAGGTCTCTTTCTAGCCTTTTTCTTCTGGAGGACTATTTAAAAATAACACTGTTTTAAAGTTGATCCTGAAATACTGTTCATGTCCTTTGTTGTTGATAACCACTATAATTCGCACAAAAACCTCAGAAGAATGGTTTGCCAGTCTTACCTTTGAGACTTTAAGCTTCTTGTCAGACACACCAGAAAAGTCAGCGTTAGGCCCAAAAGCATCGGTTATGCCCATTTCTTGCAGTGTGTCCTCCAGGGAGGCATCGGCCGAGATGGAGAATTTTGGCAGGTATAGTTCCATATGACTGAGAAACACACATCACCACCACTGTCAGAATGATTGAAATGTACTGGACATAGCTTGGCTTATTTGTTCAGACACTGTTTCATCCAGGTTATACTCATCCAGTCCCTGATTACTCTATGTTACCTTTCCTCATCCCAATGTACAATAGTGCATTCCTGTTATGACACTTTATCTATAGCATAGTAGGGTAATTTAAAAAACTAATGAAATTCCTCTCACCGCTTGGACAATGAGTGATGCCAGTCCTTGATGTGCTCCTTGCTGATGAAGCCCTCCACCTCCTTCGCCTTGCCTTCATCAGGCAGGATGATCATCATCTTGGTTTTGCCCTTGTAGGGCAGACTGACGACAGTGGTGTGATTGTCAGCATCATAGTAGTATAGTGTTTGACCTGACCTCACCATCATGTCCACTGAAACTTTGGTGGTCTCATTTACATGGAAGTCTGCCTTGTGTGTCTGGTGACTGCTGAAGGGTGTCTCCCACTGTGCTGTGGAGGCAGTGGAAAGGGGAAGATGGTAGTAATGTAAATATGTGAATAGAAATGCATTGTGCTTTACAATCATCATACCTCATGCCCTTATACCCCACGACATTAATTTGAACTTGCTTCTTACCTTTGAAGTAGACATAGTTAATAATCACCATGGCCAAATCAGGGCCCAGGCTCTGCACCATATCCCTTGTCTTGCCCTGGGTTTTATTAGCAATGTATGTGTTGATCTCAGCGACAGCTTCATCAGGTTCAGTTGCGTTGAAAGTGAAGATCTCACCAGAGTAGTATCGCTTGACATCATTCCGGAACGTCTCCAGTGGACTGAAGTCAGAGTGCAGGGCCACAGCATTTCCAACATTCAACTGCTCATTGTGGCCAAGTACATGCATGAGATATTTGTACCCTTCATTGACCTGAGTCTGGTTTAAAGTGCTGTAGCCCAGGCTGGAGAACAGCTGGCTGTGGGTTTCACCATGGGCTCCTGTAGACAGCATAGACAGGGCGGTGGAGATGCCCAGCGGTGAATAGAAGATGTTCTTTCCAGCAGGAGCCTTGGCCTTCAGACTTTTGTAGAGGGCAAAGGCGAAGTCAGCATTGGGAGCGCTCAGTTTGCACTTATATCTATGCTCAGAGCCATGGTCCTGGTGGTGGTCATGTCTGTGGTGGTGGTCATGTCTGTGATGGTGGTGGTCTGCCCAGGCTACAGCCAGTAGCAGTGCTGCGACTGCACATTTGGCAAAGATACCAGGCATCTTTACAGCCTGGCCATACAAGAAGAAAAAACAGAGGAAATTGTTAGTTGAGCTTCACCATGTTGGGTCACAATAGTGTTGGACAATAATCATTCATTTAAACAAACAACAACAACCACAACACAAAGACATTTTAGAGCATTGCATATAACATAATGAATTCAAATAATAAGGCAAACAGAAGATGGTTGGTGGGGAGTTCCTGCCTCAAGTGGAGGAGTTCAAGTATCTTGGGGTCTTGTTCACGAGTGAGGGAAGGATGGAATGGGAGATTGACAGGCGGATCGGTGCAGCTTCTGCAGTAATGCGGTCGATGTACCGGTCCGTCGTGGTGAAGAAGGAGCTGAGCTGTAAGGCGAAGCTCTCGATTTACTGGTCAATCTACGTTCCGACTCTCATCTATGGTCATGAACTTTGGGTCATGCCCGAAAGGGCAAGATCCCAGATACAGGTGGCCGAAATGAGCTTTCTCCACTGGGTGGCCGGGTGCACCCTCAGATGTTAAAACCATGAAATACTAATAAGAAGCATGATTGTTAGGTTGTGTAGGCCAGCTGAGATGATCACTGCTACCCTGAAACTGTACTTCTCTCTTTGTCTTAATGTGTTTTTTCCAAGGTCTATGACAGTTCCTTAGGTGAGGAGGCCCCGGGGAAGACCCAGGACACGCTGGAGGGACTATGTCTCTCGGCTGGCCTGGGAACGCCTTGGCATTCCCCCGGAGGAGCTGGAGGAACTGTCTGGAGAGAGGGAAGTCTGGGCATCTTTGCTTAGACTGCTGCCCCCACGACCCGGTCCCGGATAAGCGGAGGAAAATGGATGGATGGATGGACAGTAGATAAAGACTCAATATCTTTTTAAGCAGGACACAGTAATGATCTAATTTCAAACAGCTTTATCTCTTCATTTTGCCACATTTTTACAGTCACTGCTAAAATTAACAAATTGTACATATGACTCACTTCTGAAGTTTTAGTGCTCAAAGTGTATAGAAAACAATCAGCAGCAGAGCAGGTCCTTGTGTGCCCTTAGTGTCCTGTTTGGTGAAGTTTGGCAGAAATATATGAGACTTTTTGTATATCTGGTAGATCAAAGAGAGTCAGTTTACAGTTCTATTAAAAATTAACAAGATTCAGTTTTAATTAGGCAGCTGTTCAGCAGTTGAGGTAAATACATTGACTAAGATGGAGACCCGCCAGAGTAACCTGAAGGCCCAAACAGCAGAATTTTTTATGTTCTTTCCTAAGAGACGAGATAAGCTGTACTGCGAACAGACACGCATGGTGGTTTGAAGCTATACACCTGTACAACTTTGTGTGTTTTTATTAACAGTGTGAGTTGTCATCTTTACTTTCAAGACAAAAACAAATTTGTTGGTGTTTTTCTGTACTTGAACTTATTAAATAAAACTATAATGTGAATATTTCCATGATCCTAGAACTCTGACACCATTAACGCACATTCTATTGGGGACACTGTTCCGGTAGAAAAGCTTCAGTGAACAATCTCTGTCTTCACTAAAAGCAACAACTGACCAAATCTACTGTACAACCACAATGTGAACATCATTAACTTCAACAGCAACTATATCAGGACATACTACAACTCTGAAACTACAGTTTCCAGTTGAACTCCAGCTGTGAAGTGCGACTGCTGCCTTTGTTGCTGCTCCTGAATCTTCTCTGAGCTGAAAAGAACAGATGAAGCAACCAGGTACGAATTGACCAAGAGACACCTTTGGCAACTGTACCTCTCTAGACCAGCTTAATTGTCCTATTATTTATTCATATTTTGTCTGAAATTTCAATAAAGTCTACTAATTTTCTAAGAAGCAGAATGACTTTCAGAAGTTATTGTGTCACAACTTTAATCATTTAACCCACACTGAACCCAAACGTCAACTGCTTTGACGTTTGGGTTCAGAGTAAACTGAAGCAAACTTCAGTTGCTTTTAAGTAAAAGTTTCAATACAACAGTGTAAAAATACTTTATTACAAGTAAAAGTAAAAGTACAGAAGTATTGTCATTAAAATATATTTAAAGTAATAAAGACAAAAGTATTCATTATGCACATTTATCATTAATATATCATTAATTATCATTTTATTAAATAATAATTATTGATCCATTACTGTGCACATCACATTTCATTTTGCAACTGGTGAAGGTGGAGCTCATTTTAATTTGAATTACTGATGGGTATCTTTTGAATTTACCACTGGAAATCAATATAGTCTTGTGACTATACTGCATTTTCTCTTGTAGTAACTGAAGTTATCAAATAAACATAGTGG